TTTTATATATATATATATATATATATATATATATATATATATATATATATATTTGAGACTTTCATGATACTAATTAATATTTATGCAATTATAATATTTTTCCCATTTAAAAATTTTTTTTTTCTAATATTTTTGTTACTTTTCAACTATGGCAGTATTTCATGTTAAAATAAAAACAATGCCTTTAAAATCCGATTTTTGAAGGCAGATTAGTGGGAGTAAAAAAAGAAAAACATCTGAAATTCCTGGTTTAGCCACTAGATTCCTCTATAGCTCTATATTAAAGGCTTATAAATTCTCTAGTTGTTTTTAGACATAAATCCTTTTTTGTTGTTGTTGTGGATTTGGATTTATATTTAGACATGCTCAAAGACAACTTTTTGTGAAGGTTTAGATTTTTTGTTTGGAATGTCAGTGTTTGCAATACTATAGTCAAACCTGAACACAAAGACATTGTTACACGTAACATCCAAATTCAACAAAAATGAACCGGAATGCTTCATCAGAGGCTGATTTCAACCTCTTATTTGAGTCTTCTGGCTCAATTTTGCCATGTTTCCAAAGCCACACCAGTTCATTTGTGTTAGTGTTGTGTGTCTGTTTTGTATTCTTGATCTTTTGGGCTAGTTTTGAGTAGCAAGTGGGTGGGTTTTGTTGTGAAAACCTGGCAACCCTGCTTCACTGCTGTGCACTTTTAGATTGTACTTGTAGATTGTACACATAAATCTCTATGTATTTTTGCGTATTTCCCATTCATTTCCAATAGCGCTCATGTTTGACCGTGAACAAAACAAGTGGCTATTTTTTAAGGACTATTTAGCTTTGTTTATGTTTTTTGTTTTTGTGGTCACATATAGCAACTGCCATAAGTCATCGAGTTTCGTAGCATTCCGATGAAGTAAATAAAAAAATAAATAAAAAAATTCCCGGTTTAAAATGACCGAACAACACCAGAGGGTTAATTAAGTAACCGTATGTAAATTTCGTCGCTAACGTCTGATTCAAACAGCGCGGGAACAAAATTACCGCGCTTTTGTCTGACAGGAACTGAGCTTTCACTGCAAATGAATGATATAAGAACTTTTTACAAAGGTAAAGTAAATAAAGTGAACGAAAACGGCGTTAAGATTTGCTTTACATACAGGTAAGTCAAAATACAACGTATAATCGAAATGTTTGAACAAAATACGCCGAGAGCTACTGATTAACTAGAAAAACGCTAGCGAGCTAGTTAGATTTTCAGAAATATTCGGTTGTTTAGATCTCTAGTTCTCTCACTCCCAGTACATGTATCTCACATACTTTAAACTGAAAACGTACTAGGTACTTTAAATGTTCAAAACCATACTTTTACATTTGTTTCTTAGGCTTCTTCTCAAGTCTTTTTTTTTCACGTGTGCTTTGGTAAGATGCCCTATTTTTTCAGAATGGTAGATTTTACATTTTGATTATTGCATTTTGTTTAAACATTAGAGTAACTTAGTTAAGCCTCTGTTGGACAAAATGTGTGTGTCATGATTTGACATTGGTGTGTGTTGTAAGGTTTACCCGTTGTGTCCTCCAGAGGGCGCTGTTGACCGCATGTTGAGACGCATTTATGAATTTATTCACCGCTCGTTTTATATAACATTTACCTGTCGGCATTCAGAGGTCAACGCAAATATGCACAGCTTGGCACAAGAATGTTCAAAGTGTTTAAAATTGTAAATGTAATGCTGACTATGATTAATCAAATCATAAGGCTATACTTTACCTTTCTCCAACATGTTAATGTGAAAAGAAGGATAAAGTGTCTCTAATTAAGTCATAAAAACCACATCGGCAAGTTAGGGACTGTGAACAGGAACATTTGGCTTGTCTTTAAAAATCCGAAAGCAAAGTAGTTCAAATTAGTTTATTCTATAGTTTCATTGAGTTGTAAGATATTTAATGATTCAGTTTAGTTTTAAAACCGGTAGGAAGCTTATGCAAAAATATGTTAATCTTTAATAGACCTAGAGATGCGAAGTCATATTATTTAATTAAATTGTTGAAACTTTTAAGTCAAATGTTGAAATTAAGATAACATAATTGTTCTACTTCCTTTAAAAAAAAATCAATATTTATAAAAAAAAAAAAAAGTAAAGTCTGAAATCTCATACCATGATATACCAATGAATTAACTTTTTTTAATTGAGCAGAATTTTTTTAAACGCTGACGCACAATGACAAATATTAAGGCAGGTCGCTTAATGCATGTAGCGAAAGTAGAAATCTGACTAATTCTATAGAGGAATGAATAAGAACGTGTAGTCGTTAATCACACCTGCTGCTAAACCGATGGCAATGAACAACTCAAACCTGATCATGTCTGAATGCAGATTAATCCATGCAAACGTTCAGACATGTTGTAAAACACGATAATAGAACAATTGATGAAATCACGTTATTCATGAATTGTTCGCTGAATACAAAAAAAATCAGTCAATTCACATGCATTTTATTTTTTCTGTTTATTACTGGATGGCATTCATACATAAAATACAAAAACCTTAATGAAAAAGGTATTTACAGATGTACAAAACTTAAGATTATATTACAGAAATCTGACTATAAACAAAGAAAAATTGTTCAGAGTTAATTTTTTGTTTCTTATATAAAAATACGAGCGTCTTGCATATCAAAATTATTGCACCTCGCAACCACAGTGCAGTTTAGATTGCCGTCACCAAAGAGAGGTCATGCGTTCGCCCCCAAGACTCACAGACTTCAATTAAAATCCACTTGTATCTTTGGTACCTTACTGAATACACCTGGCTATACTCCGCACCATCTTGTAACACACATAAATTATTCTGTACCTGAAATTAATGGCTTTAGAGAGAGCAATAAAACAATCCAGAAGACGGAACGAGTGATGGAATGTAGGTCGATTAAAGGCTTCTTTAATACATATATTCTAATGTTTCCATTTATTATCCCTGATATTCATATATTTCCAGTCTTGTGTTTGGCACTTGGCATCTCCAAGTTTTGTCGGTAAGTAGACGCACGTTCCAGTATTGTCCCAGTGTGCAGGAAACGGACAGGGAATCGCCAGCATGTTGGAAGACAACGACAAAAAGGGGGAAAAAAAATAAACGAAGCGAACACGAAAAGTCCCAAACCTGATGCTGTGGACGACACAGCTTGTCATGGAGCTCTAGTTTCGTTGACTCTTGTTCAAAGGCAACACGTGGTTCACTAGTCCACTGGTATCTTCACTTTTTTTGGCGTCTTCCAGTCTTGGTTATAGATGGCGTTTCATGTGCAGCGCGAGGGTGTCGGATCGGGAAAAGGCTCGGTCACATTTCTGGCACTGAAACGGCCGATGGCCCGTGTGCTTTCTGTAATGCCTCGTGAGCTCGTCCGAACGGGCGAATTTCCAGCCACATCCCTCCCAGTCACAGTGATACGGCTTTTCTCCTGAACACAGAGACACGCAACAGTTAGCGTTTCCCCCTGAGGTCCTAACGAGAACAATCAAGCACACTTTGGTCACATTAGAGAGAGGGAGACAACAATTCAAATGTTGCTCATCCCTGCGTTGATTGAATAGAAGGGGAAGTCGGACAGGCTTGTGGTTTTATTTCAACGGGGATCAGTATCAACCTGCTGTTTGAATAGCAGATCAAACCACCTGCCAACTGTACTCTCACTATATATGTCTCTAGTCACTCGCAGACAATGCGCTTGGCAGTGCTGTGTTTGGGCATGTTAGATTGTTATTAAAGCACATGCACACTACAGAAAAAGGCATGTTACAAACACTGACCTGTGTGAGTCCTGTGGTGGGCTTTGAGATGGGAGCTCTTGGTGTATGTTTTGCCACAGCCTGCGTAGGTGCACGTGTGCGTCGCTGTCCGCTTCCTCGGCCAGGAGCGCCGACCCCGCTTGGGCTTGGACTCTTCAGGCAAACCCTCGGCTGGAGAAATCAGCTCTGCCGAAGAGGAAAGAGCCCAGAGCGTTAGTGTCACTGAGGCAGAAATTAATGCTTTACAAATTCAACAAATGACTCTACAGGTCATCTTTAAAGGGGTCATGAACTGAGAAACCAATATTCCCTTGATCTTTTGACATGTAAGAGGTCATTGTACTATAAAAACATCCTGTAAGTTTCAGAACTCGAATCTCTCTCGTTAAAAACAGTTTATATTGAAGGCAGTCTGCCAAAACGACAGCTTGTGGAATGTTCTACTCTGTGATGTAATAGTTTCAGCCTCACCCTGCTTCATTCTACTACGTTAATAAATCATTAGCTCATCCATGAACATGATTTCTGCCCGAGTCCCGTCGGATTGCATCGGCTGTGGGGATGAAGACCACAACTCCCATGATTCCACACTCAGTCACAGCATCATCTAACTACGCCTTTGTACGAAATACGAAAATTACATATTGTGCCTTTAAGATATTTTTGATGAATTCTGAGAGCTCTCTGACCCTCCCATAGACAGCAATGTTATTACCACGATCAAGGTCCAGAAACGTAGCAAGGAGATTGGTAACATCATGGGTTCTTAATTTGTGTTCTGAAGATGAACGGAGGTCTTACGGGTTTAGAACGACATGAGGGTGAGTAATTAATGACAGAATTTTTGGGTGAACTAACCCTTTAATGCTTTACAGTAAGCTACAAACTCTACCAGTCATATTTAAAGGTAAGGTAAGGTATAACATAAATAAAGAGTTTGTGGACAAGTTTGACTCGTGACTGACCTTGGTACTGCATTGACTGGGCGGGAGGCTGCGGAAAGCCAGAATAACCCGGCGAGGGGTGATATCCCGGGGCCAGGGAGATCGGAGGGAGCCCCAGAACCTGAGCTTGAGGATGCTCGTCCGGAGAGAGAGAGGAAGTGGAAGAGCGACTGGGGCCCATGGCCCCTTGGCCTGTGCTGAAACCACGAGGGTCCATCAGCGGTCTCTGGCTGACTCCGGGCCGCGAGTTCACCCCCAGATGGAGATCCATCGGTCGGGTGATGGTGCAGGTGCTAGGATGCTCCTGCTTTATCCTAGGAAACGGCAGGGAGGAAGAGTCCGACACTGAGCCGCCCTTACTAAGCCCTTGGCTGTAATCGGTCATGTCCATGGTAGTCTTCACCACAAATTTACCGTGGAGGCTCGTGGGCTGAAGATACGCAGAATCCAGCTCCGGCCTCATCAACTCGGCGACAAAACCTCCCGAGGGAGATACGTCGCTGATGTCCGGGATGTTGTACAACATGCTGGACTCTTGTCCCTGAGGAGAGGGCATCGGATAGGTGTAGGACGCAGGGGATGGTGGAAGAGCTCTCGAGGCGCTGGCCATTGCGGCCTGTTGCTGCTGTTGCAGCATGCTGTTCGACAGGATAAAATCATAGTCCAACAGGTCCAGCTCTTCTGGCTCCCTCTTGGTCATTACGGAGGGGACGTCCTGGTCAGTGCAGGTCCCACCTGAAGACATGCAGGGGCGCTTCAGATGAGACATCTCCTTATTCCAAACAAACAGAGACATGCAGAAAGAGGGAACAAGACAAGGTAAGTCTCTCAAAGACAAGTTTGTCAAGATCATTATCTAACATGCTGATTTCTTGTCTTCAACACCGGAATGATCATCCATATTTTATTCAAATTATTTCTAGACACAACTTGGCCTCTGATGTTATGAATTATTAAAAGACACTTTCATGCCGCATTGTTTTTATGCTTCCAACTATGGTGCCTGAAAGAGAATCCACACTGCTAGATGCATTTTGTAATCAGTGCACGGTAAAAAACATTAGATATTTGAACGTGAACGGCTCTCACCATCGGAACGGAACGGTTCACGCCCCTGTCGCGGTAATGACATAATCTCACCAGCGGCGGAATTTCGCTAGTAAACGGATCGGTGACCATCACCTGTTTGATACTCACTAAACTGGTCATTCCAGGTCCCGTCATGGCCTTGTGCTTCACATCTGCATCGCTCGCAAAGGTGGAAATAGAGGGCAAAAGCGTGCCGCTCAGTGCCATGCTATCAAACTCACTCGGTGGCTGCCTGAAATCGAAAAAGCGTAGAAATAATCCTACTCATCCAGGTCTGGGGAAACTATCGCTCCCAAACATGACCCATCAAAGCCAAACGAAAAAGTGATGGAGATCTCCAACGTGCAGAACGCACCTCATGAGTGGGGAAACACGCGTCCAGTCAAAAAACTAAATCCTTGATGAGAGTCCGGTCCAAAGAGCGCATCAGACGCGTCCCCGTGCCATGCTGACAGAACCGGCCATTAAAACCAGCTTCGATTATGAACCGGGCTCGGTTTCGTCGCGGCGACACTCGGGGATTCCCTATCTCCCTCTCGCTGCTGTCACTCAGGACGCGCCAGCTCTCCGGTGTCTGGACTGGAGTGATTCGTCAGATGCGCGCAGGGCTTTCCTCGCCTAGTTCTTAAACCCCGGACACGCCTCTCGTTGCGCGGCAACCGCAGAAAAAAACACGTCGTGACGTCATAAAGGAGGGAGGGTTAAAAAAAAAATCTGGCAGCGGGCCGATATTTTGTATCCACACAAACATGTGCGTGTTAGCAACCGGGACCAACAGACTCCAGTAAGAAAATCATTGGTGAAAAGTCACGATTTGTTGATTTTCTCCTTTATCAAACACAAAGACGTAGTGGTGGTGGTCCGGTTATTGCGTGACACCTGTTCCTGGCGTGCGTGAGGAGTTCGGACACCGTGTTCACACCACTGCAAACTGCTCCCACAGTCACGAGGCGTGTCTGCAATTAACGCTAATCATTTTTTATACCGTTACGCACAGGACAAAGGCAGCCAGAAATGTGTAGGATTTATTTGTGATGAAAAGCCTTGCCTCTTATTCATTCAGTCAGTGTTCATCACCTGATCATGAGTAGAGTCTCATATCACTGCAGTCTTTTGTTAGCGGTCATCATTCTCACTTCTCACACGATTTGACTTATTTTAATAACTTTGCACTCTCAGTTTGCAATTTTTAGGTAATTGTAACAATTTAACTCAGAATTCATACATTATTTCTTGCAGTGCTGAGAAAAAAAGTCAGAAATGCAAGATATAAACACAAAATTGTGAGGTATAAACCCAGAATTCTGACTTTTTTTTCCCTCACAATTCCATCTTAAAATTCTGACTCTTCTCAAAATTCTGAGCTAACATCTCGCATTTGTTTCTGCCCCCGAATAAAACATAAAAAAGGTCATTGCAGCTTCTTACCTGACAATTCTGACTTTTGTTCTTGTGAGATATTAACTCCGAATTGCAAGGAAAAAATCTGAATTGTCACAATTACATTTTTTCTACCTTTTGTAAAACAGCCTCAAAGGATAGCAGACCCAAAGCCATTCTGATCTTTCAGTTTCTGTCGTTCCACTAACTCTTCTGTGTGTGTATTTCCAGTGTGTTTGTCTTTTGATTTTGCTGTTAAGCAATATTAACAGTTCAAGTTGGATCATTTTTCATGGCCCTTAATTTTGAATCAAGAAGCACCCAGTATCATTTCTTTTGAGTGTAAAAACAGTTTTTGTGCTGTGATGAGCCATTAGGTTAGTGCTGTGTATTAAGAGGCAGCTTCTACATAAACTTGTTTCTGTCTCAGAGGATTTGCCTCCGCAGTGTCTACAATCATCTTTGTATGGTGAGCAAACACGAGCTCTGAGACCATCCTGTTACATCAGGATCTTGTTCGTTTGGCTCTGTCAACAGCAGGCCTTCATTTAGCCACAGAATACACTGAATGTTGCCCCTTTAACACACAGATGCACACACAATCTCACGCTCAAATGTCCCACAATACTTGTTCCTATATTATATTTCATGATGATGAATCTGTTGATTTCCTACTGTTTTACTGCACTTGATCTTGAAATGCATCCAGATTTTTTTTTTTTTTGTGAAAAAAATAGTTACTCTGTTCTTTGTTTTTATGACAGAAAAA